TATAACAGTGAAAAAAGTTTTTTGTTTTTAAATGCAAGCTATTATGACACCAATGAGTGGTGGCACTGGGCACGGTATCCACTGTTAGCGTAACACACCCGCTTTAAGGACACTGACTGCTATTCAATCTATAACAGTGAAAAAAAGTTTTTTGTTTTTAAATCCAAGCTATTGTGACACCAGATATAAGTGGTGAAAACTTGAAGGCTGAAATAGGCACGAAAAGAGTAATGCACTGTGAACTGACACAGAAGCTGGCAGCAGTGGCAGACAACGGCGCTATTCAATCTATAACAGTGAAAAAAGTTTTTTGTTTTAAATCCAAGCTATTGTGACGCCAGATATAAGTGGTGGCACTGGTCACCGTATCCACTGTTAGCGTAACACACCCGCTTTAAGGACACTGACTGCTATTCAATCTATAACAGTGAAAAAAGTTTTTTGTTTTTAAATCCAAGCTATTGTGACACCAGATATAAGTGGTGGCACTGGGCAGCGTATCCACTGTTAGCGTAACACACCCGCTTTAAGGACACTGACTGCTATTCAATCTACACCAGTGAAAAAAGTTTTTTGGTTTTAAATGCAAGCTATTGTGACACCAGTGAGTGAGTGGTGGCACTGGGCACAGTATCCACTGTGAGCCTGACACTCCCGCTTTGAGACAACTAACTGCTATTCAATCTATAACAGTGAAAAAAGTTTTTTGTTTTTAAATGCAAGCTATTGTGACACCAGTGAGTGGTGGCACTGGGCACCGTGTCCACTGTGAGCTTAACACACCCGCTTTAAGGACACTGACTGCTATTCAATCTATAACAGTGAAAAAAGTTTTTTTGTTTTTAAATGCAAGCCTATGACACCAGTGAGTGGTGGCACTGGGCACCGATCCACTGTTACGCAATTTCCACACCCGCTTTAAGGACACTGACTGCTATTCAATCTATAACAGTGAAAAAAGTTTTTTGTTTTTAAATGCAAGCTATTATGACACCAGTGAGTGGTGGCACCGTATCCACTGTTAGCGTAACACACCCGCTTTAAGGACACTGACTGCTATTCAATCTATAACAGTGGAAAAAAGTTTTTTTTTTTAAATGCAAGCTATTGTGACACCAGATATAAATGGTGGCACAGACTGGGGAAATGGGCACAGTATCCACTGTGAGCCTGACACAGAAGCTGGCAGCAGTGGCAGACAACTGACTGCTATTCAATCTATAACAGTGAAAAAAAATTTTTTTTTAAAATGCAAGCTATTGTGACACCAGAAATAAGTGGTGGCACTGACTGGGGAAATGGGCACAGTATCCACTGTGAGCCTGACACAGAAGCTGGCAGCAGTGGCAGACAACTGACTGCTATTCAATCTATAACAGTGAAAAAACTTTTTTTTTTTTAAATGCAAGCTATTGTGACACCAGTGAGTGGTGGCACTGGGCACCATATCCACTGTGAGCCTGACACACCCGCTTTAAGGACACTGACTGCTATTCAACCTATAACAGTGAAAAAAGTTTTTTTGTTTTTAAATGCAAGCTATTATGACACCAGTGAGTGGTGGCACTGGGCACCGTATCCACTGTGAGCTTGACACACCCGCTTTAAAGACACTGACTGCTATTCAATCTATAACAGTGAAAAAAGTTTTTTGTTTTTAAATGCAAGCTATTATGACACCAATGAGTGGTGGCACTGGGCACCGTATCCACTGTTAGCGTAACACACCCGCTTTAAGGACACTGACTGCTATTCAATCTATAACAGTGAAAAAAGTTTTTTGTTTTTAAATGCAAGCTATTGTGACACCAGATATAAGTGGTGGCACTGACTGGGGAAATGGGCACAGTATCCACTGTGAGCCTGACACAGAAGCTGGCAGCAGTGGCAGACAACTGACTGCTATTCAATCTATAACAGTGAAAAAAGTTGTTTTTTTTTAAATGCAAGCTATTGTGACACCAGATATAAATGGTGGCACTGACTGGGGAAATGGGCACAGTATCCACTGTAAGCCTGACACAGAAGCTGGCAGCAGTGGCAGACAACTTACTGCAATTACATTACATAGAAATTTTTTTTATAAAAAAGCATACCCTAACCCTAACCTAGCTATGCATTTCCCTATCTAATCAACAGCAGCTACACTTTCCCTCCTCTCACTAAGCATGCAGCTTGAGAATGAATGTAAAATGGATGCCTTCCAGTAGGTGGGAGGGTCTGCTAGGGAGGGTGTGCTGCTAATTGGCTGGAATGTGTCTGCTGACTGTGAGGTACAGGGTCAAAGTTTACTCAATGATGACGAATAGGGGGCGGATCGAACCGCGCATATGTTCGCCCGCCGTGGCGAACGCGAACATGCTATGTTCGCCAGGAACCGTTCGCCAGCGAACCATTCGGTACATCACTACTTATCACCAGTGGAAGCAGGTCTATGGCAAGCCAGGTACCCTCATTCAGCATTTATCTGCTTGAAAGTGGTTTAAGACTGAAAGAGTACAGAAAAAAGGAGAAATTAAACAATGTGTATATTTCATCTATTCAGTTGCAATATTTGCCCTGGCTTTGCCTTGTCAGAATTGCTTTATGATATAGTTTGCTAAATCTTTCATTAAAATTTAAACAGAAACACAAAAAAAAAGGGTTGTCAGGTTATAAGCGATTTTCAATATTTTACTCAATGATGTAAAATTGACAGCAACTGACTACAGACAGGTTGTGATATACTTGCGTGTATGTCTGCCTTTCCATCCTTTGCCTTCTAATGCTCATAGCAAGTCAGCTCACTCCATACTCTCATTGGCTGAGCTGTGTATGTACGCTGATAAGGAAGTCCTTTTTCTGGATTGGGAGGTGTGGCTTTCATTTTATTTTTTGTACGCAAAAAGTACAGCATATCGATGATATTTGTGTCGGTGCACTGAATATCTACTTTCAAGCTGTTAACATAACTGATTTTATTATGTTTTTATGATTTTTTAATTGTATTTATTCCTATTTACAGAGCATTCTGCAATGTCTGGCTGAAGCGTTCACAAGAAAATATTTTTCCTGGGGCAACTTTAACAATGGACAATTTTGGCGTATTTCAGTACCCCATTTATCGATGGATAATCATTGCTGCATTGTGTTTTATCTTTCTTATAAGTTGTTTAAGGTTACTGTTTAAGTGTTGCAAATTAATTAATCACACAGGTACTAACGAGACAGCAGACTCTACCACCATTTCTACTATCAATTCTCAGTTTAATACGGGATACCAATCAAATCAAGATAGACCTCATTTCGAAAGTCAGCATTTTCCAAGTACTACAGACCCGCTGTCGGAACCCTTTCGCTTCGCTACAGCTCCTAACCAGGCCTATTTGCATGACACAAACTTTACTATAGCTCAAACAACGCTCATACAAGATATACCTCCTAGCTATGAAGACGTCATTAGACAGAAATGTTAACCTGCAATTAATGTATCATTTGTATGAAGTATTTTCTTACATCTATTTACATCTAACTGCCAGACAGCTGATAGTTGTGATGCAATCTTTTTATTCTTCATCTAACCTAGTCTAGGTCATTCAGAAAATTAATCTTGCACTGATTGGCACTAAAAATCTGATGTTTTTAAGGCTTCAACCAGAAACAGCAAAACAAGTAAAGTTTTCAAAACTAAACTGCAATAATGCAGAGTCCATCAGAGATATAGGGCTGGTATATTGCCTTGAGAACTTCAGGACTCAACTCTTGGTTTTATTTTTCTTATCTAATACAATTACGTTGCATTTTGAACCCATGTCAGAGGTATTAAGTGGGTTCCTCTGTGAGTGTCTCCAAGCCGCTGAGTGGAGACAAACATTAAAAGAAAGATGCATCAGTTTTCTATGCTGTGCAGAGACACAGAATCCTGGGAGGTACCACCTACTGAAGGTAGCCCATGGAGCAGCGCAGCTAAGTTGAATGGTCCTTGACATGGCTAGGAGACAGGCATAGGAGGTGTTTAGTGTTGAGGTTTG